AACATTGTAAAGACAATTGGGTGAGAGATGTAGTGTTAAATAGAGATGGATGCATATTAGTATTAAGCTTTAGCAAAGATATATTGAAGTTCAACCAATCAGGTTCATTTGTTGCTAGGATACAGGTGCCACAAAATGTGACGGTCAATAGAATGCATCTAATGAGTGATGGTAACATGATATATAGTGATGCCATAGCACAATGTGTAGTATTGTGTGATGATAAATTCCAAGAAGTTCGTTCATTTGGTAAAGACATGTTGAAATCACTAGAGGGCTTGACATTAAACAAGGAAACTAGAACCTTGTATGTAGCAGATGTGTATGCTCACTGTGTGTATAAATTCAATGTTGATGATGGCAGGCTAATGGGTAAGATAGGTTCAGAAAGTAGTGGAGTAGGTAAAATGAAGCAACCAAGAGATGTCACTTTAACTAAGGAAGGTCATGTGATTGTTGCTGACTTTACTAATGACAGAATACAAATGTTTGATGCTAATGGTAAGTTTATGAGAACTCTTGTAGGCTCTGGTAGGGAAGATGGCAAAGTTTTGAGTCCTTTTGGTGTAACCATGGATATGGATGAAAATATAATAGTATCAAGTAATCATAAATTACAATTATTTGATAAAAATGGTGTATTCATAACACGAATAGATCATAAAAATGATGGATTAGAATGTCCACTAGGAATCACTGTAATCTCCAACAGACCAAGAAGAGTAGCAGTAGCCAACCTCGGACAAAACAATGTAAAAATATTCAATTATTAAAATGACACATTGAAAAGCTCATTAACAGGCTCCATTATTAGATAATGTAAAACAATACTTCTACAGTTTTTTAATACATCAATAAATATTTTTGACAAATATATTCAATCAGATTCAAAGCAAATGAATGAGAATAACTATCACACTATTAATGTTTATACATCAATCAATTAATTATTATATTCCATCAGATGGTAATTTTATTTTCATGTAGAAAAAAAAGTAATTGAACTTACAATATCTTTTTATTTCTGTATTTTTATATGGCTGTAATAAATATTATAATTATATTGAATAAATAAATGAAATGAATGAATGAATGAATGAATGAGTGAGCGACTGAATAAAAAGTTGGATGTGAGTTGACATGTCTCTGAATGAGCATAATCTAGATAGTTTTAATAGGAGCAAACATAAAATTAGAATAATTATTATGAACCTTTGTACGGAAATTGCATTTTAGGTTGAGCACTGATACCCACTGAGAACTGTTCCTATATGGAGTCAAATTGAGTTGTGATGTATTAACTTTATTTGGTAATTAATTCCCCATCAATTATAAAAATTCTTATGTTATATTGTATTGTGTTGTGTTTTATATGTTGTAAGCTACACTCTTTAGTAAAATTGAAAAAAAGTATTTAACTAAGTTTATTATTTTATTTAATTATTTTTATGTCCTAGGTAAAAAAAAAAAAACACAACAAAACAAATTGCTCTGTATATTTTGCTAATCAACTACAGTATTCATTGTATTGTGTTGTGTTTTATATGCTGTAAGCTACACTCTTTAGTAAAATTAAAAAAAAGTATTTAACTAAGTTTCTTATCTTATTTAATTATTTTTATGTCCTGGGTAAAAAAAAAACACAACAAAACAAATTGCTGTGTATATTTTGCTAATCAACTACACTATTCAACACATATTACACCAGCAAAAACACAGTAGGCATAATTATACTAAGTATGTTTGAGATTTTTTAGAAATAGAATAGAATAAAAAAACACAAGTTTAATACATGAATGAGTAAACAGACCTATTTTATATTTGATTTCAGTCTGGGTTGTTACTAGGCCTATGTCAACTAGATAAATCTTGAATCCAATATTATTTTACCACACAATAACAATTGTATCAATGATAATTTTACCATCAATACACAGATGACAAATTTTCATTTTTGTAAAGCTATAATGCAAACGAAGTACACGAATCAATGATCACAAAACAGATGTCACAATAAACACAGTGGGAGTATTGACCAGGGCTGCCAGATCTACCACTTCAGCAATATTACAAAAATCAGCTATCACAGACCACGCCATACAACACAATCTCATGCCAAACTGGGAGGCTACCACTGGCAAAACAACCCAAATGAAAAGACAGGCAGATCACAGAGTCTTTTTTTAAGGTGTAAACAAAGACAAAGTCATGAACAGGATAAAGGAGCACATGAACTCTCACCATGACCAAGCTACAAAACACCTAGTTGTCGTTAAAAAAAATCTCCAATAGGGATCGACACGTTTTGATTAAGTACTCCGTTTACATTGTACAGTAGCTTTACAAAAATGATAATTTATCATCTATACAATTCTGAAGAAAATTAAATCTTTTCAAGATCAATGCTCTTGTATGACACACTTTAATTCAGTCAGCTTATTTTGTTGAGATGTTTCATCACATGATAATTAATAAATTGTATTTTTCTCACAAATTCAAGAATGCTGATAATGACATTTTGACATATAATCAGGGCTTGCCCTAACTTTTTTTGGTAACTAGCCCACTGAGCTAGTTTACTAGAGATTTTACTAGCCCACAGAATATTTTACTAGCCCACAGACAGGAAAAATTTTGTTTCAAAATATTTATTAGCGACAATTAAATTTGAAGGTTGATTTGCAATTTCATAATTTAAATTTCTGTAGCATTGCTGTTTGAGCTACCCTCTCAAAATATTGTTGAAAATAAATAAAAAAAATCACCCATGATGCAAAATCGACTCTGGTTATAACAGGGACAGATGAGCACGTTTTACATCTCCCTGGTTATAATTTGGCTTTCTAATATTTAAGAAAGGGCCCAGAAATCAATCAAACCAATGCATCTGTTAAATCTTTAGGTCTCAAGTCACCCCCAATGGCAATAAATCTTGCTTAGGCTACCTATGCTAGGCTAGGCTACCTAGGCCTAGACAAGACCTAGGGCCTAGCCTAGCCTACCTATAGCATTGAAGTACTTATTATTAAAAGGTGAACATTTTAAAAATATCATTATGAGAAAATAATATGAATATAAGGTAGTACATTAAATTAAATTACATTAAACTACCTAAATTAACCAGATTGAACGATCAAACGATCTTCTAATCTATTGAGAGAAAGAGGTAACATGCCATCAAAGATACTAGAAATACAAGATAGAGTTCTCCACACAAAAAAAGTGTTCCACCGTGTTTCACCGAAATGCATGGTGGGAATACGAAAAATGCGATGCCCCCTACAGCTGGATCTAAAAAACTTGTTCCAAACTTTCGTTACCAAGTCGTCGCGTATTTTATTATCAATTCTCAACAAAGATACTAGATATAAAAACAAACTGGAATAGACACCCAGACAGTGACATCGGTGAATACATAACCTCCTTGGTGGCGGTAGAAATTGTTACTATATCCAAATAATACGCAAAACAATTAAAGCATAATCATGAATCAGTAAAGAATAAAACAACAATACAGCACAGAATCGCATGCCCTTACGCACTCTTAGTGAAAAAGTTTTCCTCCATTAGTGGAAAAGGAAGGGCGCCTTTTGCGTCTGGATATACTTAGCAACAGAAGGGCGCCCTGTACGTTGGGCACGAAGTATAGGAAACTTGCATTGGTTAAAAGAAGGGCGCCGCCTACGTTGGGCACGACTTCCGCCTCATTTTTACAACGCGAGAACTCTATCTTGTATTTCTAGTATCTTTGCATGCCATCCTGTAGTGGTTGGTGAATGACTTGGGGATCATCTTAATAATTAAACACTCACGTATGTGGAGAGCTGAAAGCTAGAGCAAGGTAATTCAACAAAAGGACGCACATCTCCGCTCTCGAACATAGCGCGTGCGTACAGTCCTTTGATCTTTACTGTGGCATCGACAATCCGATACTAGTTGCGAGTACAGCCGTCAATTATTAGTCTATGCGTGCCA